ACACACACACACACACACACACACACTCGCACTCTTGCATTCATGGCGTTCCCTGTGAGAGCACATTCATCAGATTTACGTTCGCAGACACAGTTTAGTGTTTTTGTGCTGGAGTGTCTCTTGACTTTGGGGGGAAAGTGTTTCACCAGCTCGTCTGTTGTTGTCGTCAGGTGAAAACCTTGAAACTGCCTTTGTGCTGATTGTCCAGCTTTAACTGTCATCGATTAAAAAGCTTTTAAAACTTTGTTCCTCTGAATTACACATTTACAAAAAGAAGGCACCTCTCGTTCTGAAAACGTCTTGAAGACTTTCTCCTACGACTCAGAATCCGAGCATGAATTTATTTAGTGTCTCTCTACAACATTATTGTAACAGTGATTAAAAAGGAGAAAACGTGAATACTTGACTCGTGCATGTATCGTATAAAAACAATATCGAGGTTCAGAGACATTAGAAAAATGTATTTAGTTTGATTTCACTTTATTTTGTGATCACACGTCTATTTAATCTGTCTGTTCATATTTTAATGACTCTGTCTGCGCTGGACTGTTTTCTGTGGTTTGGTTTTTTTTTTTCACCTCGGCCCACTCCTCTTCATCAGTTCATCTCTCTGAGGCACCAACACATGAACGAGTTCGAATTAAGCCGGAGACTTTTCGTCTGAATCCAGAGGGAAAAACAGAAAAGGAGATTTGGATAAAGTGAATGAGACGATGAAGTGTTTGTGAGTCACAAAGTAACTGCATCGTTCTGTCTTCACGTGTGAACCACCTCAGGTCAGACTCATTAAAATCTGCTGTGGATGACGTGTTGTCCTTCATTCTGGTGCCTGCTCACCTTCCCCCCGCAGCACCGGCGCCAGGTTGTTATGTCTAAACCAGAAATGTTTGTCCATAACGAGGTGCACGGTCCAAAACTAATGACTAGATTTCTATGTGGCTGAATATCAATATCCAAAGTCCCCAGAGCAGGAATCCTGATAATGTCAGTGAGCTTTCATCGCTGAGGACAACCGTCCACATCATGACCTTCATCGGGGAGTTACGTTCAAGACGAGTTACCTATATGTTCAGTGGCTTGATGGCCGATATTGCTCAGGTACTAGAAATACCGCGCCGCGGTTGAAAGCCTCCGCGCTCCGGAGCAAGTCACATTCAGGAGGCCAAAAACCTTGTGATGTGACCTTGAGCTTTGAGCTTTGGCCACCAAAACCGAATCACTCAACCCGTGAGTCTGAGTCTGAGTCAGATATATGAACACATTTATCTCCGCACAGAGCAGCAGTGAGTGTGTGTGTGTGTGTGTGTGTGTGTGAGTGTGTGTGTGTGTGTGGTCCTCTGTCACCTTGAGTTCGTCTGCGTCGTAGAAGCTGACTTGCACAGACGGGACCATCCAGGACTGGAAGAGAGAACTCAGGATACGATTGGCAACTGTGTCTGTGATGAAATGAAAGTGAAGCGGATTTCTCCTGAGAAACAGAAAGAAAAAGACGTGGAGAAGAAAGAGTCGTTGTTTACTGACAACATGTTCTGTATTTTAAAATCCCATGAAAAAGCCTGAAACATGTTTCTAACGCGACAAATCTGATCCTCGAAGCAGCTGCAGCGGAGGTCAAATATAGGAAAACGGCACTAAAGTGATATTTAAATCTTTAAAAGGAACAAAACCACGTGAGCGGAGCTGATTTAGGTCGACAGAAAATCCAGAAAACAACAACTAGACCCTGAAATCTCCTCCGCAAATAAATCCTGAGCCGTGAAAATATGACATCGCTCGTAACCAGGGCACAAAAACACACTCCGGACGATTTACAGGCGAAAACCTCTCGATAATTTCTGCTGCCTGTCGGATTTTCAAAGTTTCACAAATGAAAAAGAAAAAGCTGATCGACAGACGGAGCGAAATTTAAAAAAACGCTGCGGACGAACACACTCACCGGTGAAAGAGGACGGACTTGACCAGCGTGACCACGTCTCTGCTGGCGTTGTGACCGGCACAAACGCACGCCACGTGGATCAGCTGCGGACACAGAGGGATGAAGATGAAACTTCAAATGTCGCCATTTGACAGATTTTATACAAACTTCCCAAAAACGTGTAGTTTTAATACTGAACTTCTCACACACGTGCGATATTACGTCACGTGGCGACAGTTGAAAACTCATCATCTGAACTGATTACATCATCACATGTGTATGAGCAGTCTGACGCCTGTGCTGCGTCGTGTTTCCTGACCTCGCACTTCTGGACGGTGGGCGACCGGGGACACTCTGTGTGGTTGCTCTTCTCCTCCGCTGTGTTGTCCCCGTCCTCGGGTCCCGTGTCCGCCGACGCCCCCCACTGCTGGTTACCGTAGTTTCCGTCCGGCTGCTGGGCGGCGGCGCCCTGCGACTGGCTGAGCTGCAGCCGGATCTGTCGGTTCTCCTCTTCCACCTCTCGGACCCGGGACTCCAGGACGGCTCGCTCCAGGACCTGAGCCGCCGGCGTGTCGGCCAGACAGGGAGCGAGGAGGAGGGAGCGACCATCTGAGGAGGGGACGGAGGCGGGGTCATGATGTCAGAGAACTCGCAGAAGCTTCAGTTTGAAGTCATCGAACACATGTCGACATTTTACCGGTGACTTTTTTAAAGTGAATGATTCACCTGTTGATCTGACCTCAGGAGCCCAACGCACCTGAAAACACGTCACGTGACGGTTCACGTACACCGGTCATGTGATGTAAACAGGAAGTAGATTGTCTCCTCTTACTGACGGGACCTAATGTGGATCAATCCGTTGTCTTTCTCTTCATCTTATCCTCTTTCTTTCTGTTCTAACTCTCTCCATCTCTCTCTGTGTCCTCCTCCATCAACCTCTCCATCTTTCTTTTTGGGAGGGCCCTTCTCTCTCTCTCTCTCTCTCTCTCTCTCTCCCCCCCCCCCAGCAGAGCAGCAGCTGGCCCGCAGCTGAGGAGTGAGGCATGCTGGGAATGTTCACACCCTCGTCTGGGGTGAAGTGAAAAAAA